TTTCCCCTTTGTCTTGTGGATTTCCTGAGTGTTATTAGACGGAGGTGAGGTAAGGCATTAGAAGAAATAATAACTGTGCTAATGTCTAATTCAAAGTCTTATAAATTATAAACCATGGGTGACATCATGGCAATGTATTTCCTAAATCTCAATCTTGTCCAAGTAATAAAGTTTGGTAACAAAATTGCAATTTTAATTGTTTTATGTAACAATTAAAACATAAGTGATATTTCTAAAAAAGATGAGTAAGAAAATCCTACATCTATATGATAGAATGACCATTTTGGTTGAGAAGCTATATAAAATATGTAAAGTTCAATAGTTAGTATTTAAAACTATATACTATTTTTTTTTTCACACACACACAAAAATGCCTTGATTTCCAGCTATACTGAATTATCAAGTAGTCCCTGGTCATACCATGGATTTTTTTTTTTTATCTTTGCAACCCCCCACCTCCTGCTCAGCTCTCAACCCCAGGGTGAACTTCCTTTCCTGCAGTGGTTCCCAACCTTCCTAATGCCGTGACCCTTTAATACAGTTCCTCATGTTGTGGTGACCCCCGATTTCATTGTTACAAATTGAACATAATTAAAGCATAGTGATCAATCACAGAAACAATATGTAATTATATATGTGCTTTCCGATGGTTTTAGACGACCACTGTGAAAGGGTCGTTTGACCCCCAAAGGGGTCGCGACCCACAGGTTGAGAACCACTGCTTTAAGGCTAAGTTAAAGTCACTTCCTAGGAGAGTCTTCTGAAATTCCTGTAGATATAAGTTATTAGTTTCTTTTGTGCACATTCTAATTACAATAGTACACAGACAATGACTATACTGGGTAAAACTATCGACTTCAGCAAAGAAGGGATGTAACAGGATCTCATAGGAAATATTGGGGCATATTGTACTTTGCCAAAGGGAGATCCTTTTGTGGATCCAATTCATCTGAAATTTATATTTTCTAAAAAGGTGACTCTATGTTCTGTGATATGCAATACTGTAGCCATGAGCCACAGGTAGCTATTTAATTTACTTGGTTAAAATTAAAATTCACATTCTCAGTTACTATAGCTACATTCCAAGTGCTCAATGGTCACAGAGGCTAGTGAATACCAGTACAATACTGCAGAGGCACAAAGATTTTCACTGTCATGGAAGTCCTATTGGACAACATAGCTCTAGATCCTGAATCTTATTCCCTTAGCAGGAGAAAGTAGAATCAGTAATCAGAGAGTTTCCAAGGAGAGAAAACTTATCATCATATCATAATCATAGTAG